TATTTTTAATACTTCTTGGTTGAATAACTTTGCCTCTAACATTTATATATTCCTTTCCTGATTGTCTAAGTTGCTTTCTTTTTGACTGTTTCCAGTTATAACAGTTTGCTTTACGTTTTCTTGTTTTCCCACCATGTGGAGGTAATCGCAGTTGATCAGAAATTAAAGGATGCGTTGAAACATAGGGTGTAACCATGATATTAGCTTGTTGTGGGTAATTTGAAATAAAAATTAAACATAAAAAAGGTTATGCAATGCAAAATAATTTTATGTTTGAAGATATATTATTTTAAGAAGAGACAAATTTTTTCCATATATAAAACGATTCATTTGAGTCTTTATTTATTTAGTATATAAAACGTGTTGTATATACTAAATAAACAAAGACGTACGGAATACGTGAGGGTATTTAATATACTGTTGTATATGTCACATACACATACAATATATACATACATAAATAAAAAATATACACACATATAGTATATGTGTATCACGGATTATATAACCGATTCTGTTGTATATTTGACATATACAATAGTGTATATATATAACCATATATATTATATGATATATATACACTGTATGTCACATATACAACAGAATCCGTCTGCTTTTAATTAGATGATGATAGATTTATTACTAAAATAATATGTAGAATTATGAATAATAACTAAAAAAAGCCGATTGACACTAGAATATATAAGAAAATACCTATATTTTTGTTTATTACTCTAAGTTATACACTATTTTCATCCGCCATTTTAAAATTAAATTGGAGGAAATTAACACGAACTGATTACTTAATTAACGAACTGATTACTTAATATGACTTGTACGCAATTTTATTGGTTGTTGGAAATATAACAAAATAACATTAAAAACTGTTGATATTTTGCAAATAGAACAATCGAATACACCTGATTTGACACTATTTTAAAAAAATTAATTTCATAAGTAATACAGCTAAAAAGAAAAATTAACAATAAAAAAGAAATTGGTATTAACTCATTTTTCTCAAATTTGGAGATAGAACAAAATAATTCTAACCTGACGATATATATATATATATATATATATATATATATATATATATATATATATATATATATATATATATATATATATATATATATATATATATATATATATATATATATATATATATATGTATATATATATTTATATATATATATATATACATATATATATATATATATATATATATATATATATATATATATATATATATATATATATATATATATATATATATATATATATAATATATAATATAATATATCAGCTCTCGAAATAGCGGCTAATCAACGATCGGCGTCTTTTAGAAAAATTGACATTTTGATCTCCTGAAATTAAATCTGGCCGTTCAAATTTGATCGGCAGTAATTGCTCGGTAAATTTTAATGATAATTAATAGAAAAACATTTAAAAATACAGATACTTAAAAATATTAAATAAACATCAAAATTAAATTAAAATGAAATATATTTTAAATTTAATTCATTTTAATTCAATAACAAACAACTTATTTAAATTCTAATTAAAATAGTTGTATGTATCGCCCAATAGATAAAAACGATGACACGCTCACTCAGATTCTTGCCTCTATTAAGGCAGCGCAACATATATTCTCAAAATTAAAGTGTTCAACAATGCTTTTGCATGGTGATTTTAATTTTAGCCACACCAGTTATAAATCATGCAATGTTGGTGGTGGTGTAGAAACAACTGCTCATGTTACTGAACAACGTCCCGGTGATATCAAATTCCAAGAGTGTCTTAAAGACTGCTATTTAACTCAACTAGTAACATTCCCAACATACCTCAATAACATGCTTGCTACTCCAAGTAGCACACTTGATCACTCATCATCACTAATAATCCTGATTGCCTAATCTCAATAAACGAAGGAAATTCGCTTGGACATACACCAATGGGAAAAGCTCACTTTCTTTAGTATACTTCAACAAGAACAAACTAACATCTCCGTTAGTTTGTACCGAGTAAAGCAAATTTTGATGCGATTTCATTACATATAACTTCTTAAGAAATACCAACCAATCTCTCAGCAAACGATCTGTACAGTTGGTTTATTGACGTATACAAAAAAGCTGTAAAATTGGACATACCATCAACAACGACTCCATTTAAAATTAAGCAAGATCAAAAGACTCTAAGTTTATAACTTCAACGATAAACAATTATTTTCATTCACCTTTACCAATATTTGAAGAGAAAACAAAATCAACTTGCGAAATTGACGAAAGTTTGTTTACAGCTGCTACAGTACAAAACTACTTATTCTGACGACACTAAATCAATGGGACTTGACGGAGTACATCCTCGTGTTCTAAAAAACTGCGCAAAAGCCTTTGCAATACCTCTTTCACTCATTTTTAAGCAATCCTTTCAAACTGGAAATGTAACAGATCTTTGGCGTAATAAATGTTACTCCTATCTTCAAAAAAGAAAACAAACTCAAAACTTGTAATTATAGGCGGGTATCGCTTACCTCGGTACCGTGCAAGGTAATGGAGAGAATTATAAAAGAGAGGGTTATGAAACACTGTACACTACACAATCTAATTTCAAAATCTCAGCATGGATTTGTAAATCACAGAGGTTGTCTTACAAGCCTTCAGTGGACACATTGTTGACATAATATTTACAGACTTTGCCAAAGCTTTTGATACAGTACCATACAAAAGACTCCTTCACAAAATTCAGGCCTACAGCATTAGAGGCCACCTATTCCACTGGATCTCTCCTTGGCTAAGTGAAAGAAAACAACGTGCAGTTATTGGGGAACAAACTTCCGAGTGGAAAAGAGTTACAAGTGGAGTCCGTCAAGGATCGGTACTTGCTATTTGTGCTTTTTGTCAATGACTATCCAGATGGCATTAGCAATTATACCAAGTTATTCGCCGATGATAGCAAGATCATAGGAATTATAAATAATAATCAATCATCCTCTGATTATTAAATACTGCAAACGGACATTGACAACGCTGTAAGTTGGTCACATAAATAGCTTATGCACTTCAACATAGAGAAGTGCAAAGTAATGCACGTTGGTTGCCGCAAAAATAAATTAACACATACCTACCATGGCAGACATCAACGGTAACCGACATAACTTATCTCCAACGTGCATTGAGCGCGACCTTTGGGTACTAATATCCGACAACCTCAAAGTGAAAGCACAAGCAGAAGTAGCAGCTTCGGCCGGAAATCGAATGCTTGGTCGCCTCAAAAAGACATTTCGATGCTGTAGCCTCCAGCTTTGGAAGAAATTGTACCAGCTATACATTCGACTGCATCTAGAGTATTGTGTACAAGCTTGGTCTCCACATCTTAAATCGGAAATCGTCCTTCTCGAACGTGTGCAAAAACGTGCAGCAAAAGTTATATCGTCGATTAAACATTTTAATTACGAAAAACGACTACAACTACTAGATCTAACCACGCTGGAAGAACGCAGAATTCGCAGTGACCTTATACTGCGATACAAAATTGCTTATCAGTTACAAGAAGTTAAATTTTACATACCACAACCCCAGCCTTTTTTATTAAATTCACGATATAATCTGAGAAGAAACAGCCAATGTTTAAAACCCTAACTGATCAAAAGTACTAACCAATGGAACAAATTAGCTCAGAATGTAGTTGATGCGCTTACTGTGCACTTTTTTAAAAAACACGTTTAAAATGCTTCGGCTGCAGCAATGTCCATTGTCAGCATAGGAAAGCCTGATGTGCTTCCCTTCATCAATTCTATCAAGAAGTTGTATTAATTACTGTAATAAATAAATTAAAAATTAAATTAAAATTAAAAAAATAGTTAAAAATAACAGCAAGTCTTACTCACAGCGAAATAAGATCTCACAGCACAATAAAGAACTTGTAAGATGGTTTTGACTGAGCTTATATGTTAAATAACTTTATGGCGAACCTTCTTTTTCTACTCAGTCAAGATATATATTTTAATTGCTAATGAATTATCCAATGAAACCAGTTTTTAGACTAGACTAATTCATTTGAGTAACTTTTAATCTTTTTAAGACTAATGATATAATTATATAACATGTCAAGAAATGGAAAACAAAGAGCATTCCCAGCCGGCACAAAACTGTCTTTGAGACGTCTAATTAACGTCTTCCACCGGCGTCTCAATCAAATCTAAAAAAAAATCCTAAATGTTAACACCTTTTAGGCGTCTAACTGCCGATGGATTTGAGATATCTTATTTAAGTAATCTAAAATACAGCGAGATTGTAACGCATTGTACACGGCTAAATTCTGATTTCTTTGAGACAGCTTATTTGAGTCATCTTAAAGCCATCGCGATGATAACATCTTACAGCCGTGTAAATTCGGATATCATTGAGACAACTTATACTGGTTATCTGTAAGATATCTGTCTATCACGTGTCATTAAGACGTCTCTTATCAGTAATCTTATAGACGTCTATTACTTAAACACCTTTTAGTAATCTAAATGTAGATGTCTTCAAAACACCTAATGCTAGTAATCTTTACAACGGCTAAATACCTGTAAAGCTGTTAAAAACTTACTAGCACTACATTTTAAGATATAGTACAAATAAAAACTAAATAATAAAATGAAACTATTAAATATTATAATTTTAGTTCAGTGTTCTTGCCTGCTGGAGCATTTCTTAAAACGTTTTGAATTATCTTGTAAAACTCAGCTTCAGTTGTTTTTGGAAAGTTATGAATCACAGCATTGTATAGAAGGCGGTATACTTTTGAATCTGCAAATTTAATTTTTTTATTTGTTCCTTTACCAGACCCTGCATGTTTAAATTAGCCATTACATCTCTGCTCATAACACGTTTCACGAGGCTCTTGACGCAATCTCTCTAATCGTATCCTCCAAAAAGCGAAGTTGCGTCAGCTAGAAAGAAAAAAGTTATCAGATATAAATTTAAATAATTAAATTTATATACAAATGCCGCCCCCTCCATTTATCACACCCCCTATTATTTATTATTAAGATATAAAAGTTGTTAATAATTTACTTTTACAGATAGAAACGAGTCATCCAATAGATTTTGTTCAAATTCCATATACTCATTGATAGTGGTGATCACGTCCGTATCATTAACCAAAAAACAGTTAATTGGACTGCTAATTAAACTGTTCCCACTGCAGCACCTGTTGTTGCGCATCCATCGAACAACGTTTTGTTGAAAAGAAAGAACTGAGCGTTGAAAACCTGTTAAAATAATAATGTATTTTAATATAGACAACTGCAGTGTTATAACCTTTGGAAGGAAAAAGTCAATGTTTAAGAAATTTTCAACTTTAAATTCGAAAAGAAAATTTTAATTCAATTATTTATTAAAATACTAAAAAAACCATGGCAACAAATGTCAAACTAACTTGTATTTGACATAGGAATAAATTCCTTATCTTCTGAACCATCATCAGACACGCTTACTGCAACGATAAGAAAAAAAATCACTCTTTTAAACCCACTTTTTTTAACTCCATTTTTATTGTATTGAATAAACAATACATAAACTATTTTACAAATCATAAAGAAAGTTTAAAGAAGACACTATTAAATTTAATTTCATACAACAGAGAAAAGCATCTTATAAAATTATTGTTAAAAGTAAACTGGTACCTGCAGATATATCAAAATTAGGTTTGTTTTGTTTTCCAGGTAACTTGTGGCGTACTTCACTATCATCACTTTCCGAATCAGAAGAAAGAACAGGCCTTTTTGCATTGCACTTTTTGCGTTCTTTTCCACTTGAGTTAAAACGTGAGGGTGGTTGTGGTAAAGACACGCTCAGATCACTGTTTTCTTCAACTGCATTTTCGTCATTGCCACTATCAGCTGCTGTAGTGTAGTTGCAAGTCATGCATTCTTGCTTGTCAGCTAGACAAATCATTCAGAAAAATCTTCATTTAGATACAGTGTGTATATATATATATATATATATATATATATATATATAAATATATATATATATATATATATATATATATATACATATATATATATATATACATACATATATATATATGTATATATACATAATATATATATATATATATATATACATATATATATATATATATATATATATATATATATATATATATATAAATATATATATATGTATATATATATATAAATGAAGGCAGAAGAATTTATATCTATTATACAGATCAAGGCATGTCTTCTGTTTGAACCCAATCCTAAGTATAAGTACTTTTTACCAAATAACTTAGTAAATCTAGATTATATATTGAAAGATTATAAAAACTGAAAAGATATCTGGAACAATTGCAGGAGAAACAAAAACAAATATTTCGTTATTTTAAATTACTTACAATGTGTTAATTTGATTTTCATAATGGAGTAGCGCCTCCAATCATCTTTTGGTACCATTTTTTTTGATGAGGCACGGTCAGCTGAAAGACCCTTGGGTGGCCATCAAAGCACATCACCTTCAACCCAAACATGTGGAGTTACATCTTCCATGAAATTACCATCCTCTTCCCACACAACAAGAGACCACATTTTTATATATGCTATAATAGTATTTTATACAATACAAATGTAAATAAAAAACTAAAAAACTTTCCTTCATAAAAAAATTTAATTAAATTATTAAGTTGATGTATATAATAAAAATATGTATTTGTATGAAATGTTTTGAATTACAACAGTAACAAAAATTAGAAGAAAAAAATTATTATCAAAAAGAAAAATTACTAACAAAAAGAAAAATTACTAACAAAAAGAAAAATTACTAACAAAAAGAAAAATTACTAACAAAAAGAAAAATTATTATCAAAAAGAAAATCTTCCTTTTTGTTGTTACTAACAAAAAGAAAAAATAAGCAAAAAACACAGCAAAATAAATCTTTCAAACAATAATTTCAAACAAGTATTATTAAAAAAATATTAAAATGTATCTCTAATTTAATTATTACTAAGTGTTTTGATATATAGGCTTAAAAACATGTATATTTTTTATAAGAGGGATTTTTTAAATAAAAAAATTAGTTCACACATTTATTCAAAATATTGTAATATATTCTTCGAGAAAAAGAAAATTCTGAAAAAGAAAAAAACTAAATATAAAAAAAGTTGAAAATTAAAAAAAGGGGGGAAAAAGGAAAAGTATTTTAAAAATCAATTTTTTGAAACATTAAAATTCAACAAACAACAATATAATAAGTTTTTAAAATTCAACAAACATCAATATAATAAGTTTTTAAGACATGTGCAGTAGAGGATACAACAACAAACTATTTTCGTGGTATTTCATGCAAACAACTTTACATGATAAATCTGCAGCGTTTAAAACAACTGATTTGAAAGACAACTTACTAAACCCATTTATCACTGATATGTTTAAATCTTTTGAATTTATCGGTGATACAAAGAAGTTTTCACATTTTGCTAATTTGAATGTATCACACTGGAAATGATCATTGTCAATCTTTTGTCGCACAACTACATATTTTTCTTTCTTTATTAAAAAAAAAGAATGAATCTCTTTCTCTAACTGAAATTTTAGGCTTAGCAATCTGCATTGATCTTTAAAGTCCATTTACTGATAATCTTTTTGCTACTTGTGCAATTGGGTTGCTTGCATTTTTTACCATTTTTTTTAGTGATTTCATAAAGTTTTCGAATGGAAAAGCCGAAATTTCATTTAGTGACTTGCCTGACAATTCTATATCTTCATGCAAGTGTACTAGTCCATGTATATTGTACACAGAGAACGTTGGACTGTACAAATGTTTTGCTTTCTGAACAAAATATATTAAAAGCCTTTTCACAAAATCATGATAATGGTCTCTAGATTTTTTATTTGAATTACAAAATATACAAATACCAATGTGTAGAACAAGAAAATGTTCATAGTATTTTTTTTGATAAAACTGATTTTAAAACCAACGGACCAGTGTACAATAAGAATGATTTAAATTCAGTTGCCTTCCAACGATCTAAATCACATAATGTACGTGGTTGTCGTGCGAAATCGGATGGCAAAGTTCCAGTGAGCTCTATTAATTTACTGATGATTGTTTGAATTTGCACATTCAACAACTTACAAATGCGAGGACCTCGTTTCAGAAATGTCAATAATCTTTTTACAACGCCAAGAAATACTAGGTGCATAGAATCTAAGGGGAATAGATAAATTGATGTAAACATGGGAATTAACGGTGATTGCCCATTTTGATGAACCCCTGCATACGCAAATTCCTTAAAATCTGCAATTGTTCGAGGATTCACTAAATTTGTACTGTTTGTGCTGTGTGGCTGACGATGCACTTTAAGAATGAACAAGCAGGTGCATCACAAATAAAATTTTTTAAAGAAAGAGAAAAACGTTTTTCATTTACAATAATCGCTCCAGATAAATTTTGAAATTCTGAAATAAATTCACTAAGAAAATCATGCACATTATCTGGTTTATTTTTACCTAAAAACAAGGAAATTATAAAAACATCAAGACATCCAAAATATCCCAATATCGGCTAAAAAGAAATTCCAGTGGACTTAAAAAGTGGTAAACCATCTACATTTATGTATAAATCAATGGTATTGTTATTTTTAAAATAATCTGCATTTGCAAGTAAGCACTTTTTAATGCCTTCTTGGAAACCAAAATGTAAGAAGGTGCCTCCACATTTTTCAACTTCATGGGTTGTTCTGGGAGTTTTCATCAAAGTCCTTGAATCTTTTGGCAATGATAGGTGCCCATTCTCTATTAATGGTTTCAGCAAACCATCTACAAATTCACGAGAGCAGTTATTTTTACTGATGTGTCTACTTAATTTCATCTGAAAATCATTTGTATCTGGAATACCACCATCAGAGGCATCTGATGAAGACAACACAGCTTCATTATATCCAAAGTCATTGCTATAATCACAGCTAAACTGTTCAGCACTATCACTACTTTGGAATGAATAATGCATTGCAGATTGATATTCATTTGAATCTGAATCATTAACATCAACTTCAACATTGTCATTCACAAAATCATGGTCTTTTTTTCTGCTACGATGTTTTCTTATATAAGATCTCATGTATAGTTTATTGTAATCCTGGCGCCTTGGCATAATATTTTTTTTAATGATTATAAATTCTGGAAAATTGCTAAAACACCTTTAAGAATAATTTAAAATTTTATTAAAAATACTTTAAAAATACATTAGGTAGGGGGTTGTCCAAAAAGTATATCACGCTTTTTTTGCTAAAAATCTTAAGTTAATGAAAATGAATATTTGAATAACGGCGACTTAAGGTCTTCAAAAATATGATATTTTTTACACACAAAATATTCAAAAGAAATATGTCACTGCGTTTTAAAACTTAAATAAAATAAAAATATGGCATTACACATAAATATAAGAAGTGTTACAAAAATACTTCCTTATTTTAATTACTAAATAGGTAGTAACAAGGTTTGCATTCAAAAATAATTTATGTGATGTCACATTTATTGTAACCCCATCACTCCCCTTTGTTACAAACTGCCACAAATGTCTGCCTCCCTCTCCCCCTAGTAGTGTGACATAATTTATGGATTACCCATAGGGTAAAACCACCAATTCCTAGCCAATTAATTTTAAACTGCATCATATATTACCGCAAATGGCTTCGATTCATAAAAAATATGTTTAAACTCTTAAAAATATGTCTAAAATATTAAAAATATTCATGAGATACAATTTATGACAAGTTAAGTAATTTTTGTCAATAAACTAAAAAATTTTAGGAAAAAATCTAACAAGGCAAAAAATCGATAAATCATAGCCAGAGATCCAAAACATGGCCATTGCAAACTCATTTCTGGCCATTACGTTTTACGAAGTTAAATTAGTGACAATATTTTAAAATTTAAATGAAAAACATATTTATTATCGCAAGTTTAAAAAATATGTTCTGCCTAAATTATATACAAATTTAGTATAATTTTTAAACTCAGAAAAAATGTTGCATTTATTGCACTAATAAAAGTTAGATTATATTTTTATTTTTAAAAATTTGGAAAGCCACTAACTCAATATTTATGGCAATAAACTTTTTTGAAAAGTGGTCAGGGTTTGGTGGATTGCCAAGTATAGGTAGTTTTACCCTGTGAGCAATATGCATAAAAATTTAGTTTTCTATGGAATTATTTTAATTGTAAAGAAAAACACAAACATATATATATATATATATATATATATATATATATATATATATATATATATATATATATATATATATATATATATATATATATATATATATATATATATATATATATATATATGTATATATATATGTATATATATATATATATATATATATATATATATATATATATATATATATATATATATATATATATATATATATATGTATATATATATATATGTATATATATATATATGTATATATATATGTATATATATATATGTATATATATATATATATATATATATATATATATATATATATATATATATATATATATATATATATATATATATATATATATATATATATATATATATATATGATATTGCATATTAGGTAAGCACTATGAAATACGCTACAAATTTAGGGATAGACGAGGGCTTCAGTAAGTACATTGACTGATATATATATATATATATATATATATATATATATATATATATATATATATATATATATATATATATATATTAATTATTTTTTTAGCATATTAATTATTTATTTTATATTTTAAGGCATGCTAATTATTTATTAGGCATATTTCATATTTTATCATATTTTAAGGCATATTAATTATTTATTAGGCATATTAATTAATTGTTAGGCATATTACTTTTTTCAGGCATATTAATTATTTTTCAGGCATATTAATTATCAGGCATATTATTCAACTCTAAAGTTTTGACTAAAACTAGCATAAAAGTTAAATTACGCAACTGTAACCAAAAAAATATTGAGCAATTTAAAACACAATTATTATTGCTTAATTGGAAGAACATCGACTTTAGTGATAACGCAAACAACATCTACGATAATTTTTTTAATACATTTTACTCTGTTTATGATGCCAATTTTCCTTTATATGAAAAAAACTATAAATCAAAAAAACATTAATCCTCCCTGGATTACCAAAGGTTTAAAAAAATCATCAAAAGTTAAACAGAAATTATACATAAAATATCTAAAAAACAAATCATTAGCCAATATGAAAATATACAAAGACTACAAAAATCTTTTTGAAAAAGTTCGAAAAAACTTAAAAAAGCATTACTATTCTAAAATTCTCAATAAAACAAAAAATAATTGTAAACTCTCCTGGGAAATAATAAAAGAAATTACAGGTAAATCAAAGCCATACTCAGGTTCCCTGCCACACATGATCAAAGTGGATAACAATATTATAAATAATTCTCAAACAATAGCTCATGAGTTTAATAAATTCTTTGTTGAAATTGGCCCTAAACTATCTAAATTAATTCCTAACACTGAAGTCTCATTTAAAGATTTCTTAGTATCGATGGATAATTGCATTCACTCGGATGAGTTATCTAAAGAGTTACTATTTGATGAGTTCGAAAAAGCCTTTAAAACACTAAAAAAAAAATAAAGCAGTTGGACTGGATGAAATCAATGGTAACATAATTTTAAATTGTTTTGAACAAATAAAACATATTCTTTTTAAAGTCTTTAAATCATCAATCGAGCAAGGAATCTTTCCTGATCAATTGAAAATTGCTGAAGTTATTCCACTATTCAAAGGTGGTGACAAATCTGACATTAGTAATTACCGGCCTATCTCTATCTTGTCCATATTTTCAAAAATACTAGAAAGAATCATGTTCAATAGAGTATTTAATTATTTTAGTTTAAATAATTTATTATTCAACAATCAGTTTGGCTTTAAAAAGAATAACTCAACTGAGCATGCAATTATTCAGTTGGTTCGTGAAATTTCTAATTCTTTTGAAAAATCTCAATTCACATTAGGAATTTTTATCGATCTTTCAAAAGCATTTGATACTGTCGATCATAATATTTTGCTTTATAAACTTAATTATTACGGAATAAATGAAAGAGTAATTAATTGGTTTCAAAGTTATTTATCTAACAGAAAACAATTTGTTTCTTGTAATGAACTTAATCATAAACAGTTTTTAGATGTTTCCTGTGGTGTTTCGCAAGGTTCCATCTTAGGCCCTCTTTTTTTAATATATATCAACGACTTGCATAAAGCATCAAATCTTCTAAGTATTATGTTTGCTGATGACACAAACTTATTTCTCTTGAACAGTGACATCTATCTACTATTCTCCGTGATGAACAAAGAACTTCAAAACATATCTAAATGGTTTAAAAGTAACAAATTAACATTAAATGTAAGCAAAACAAAATGGATTCTTTTCCACCCTCTCTCCAAAAAACATTATCTTCCCCCAAATCTACCAAAAATTTTTATTAATCATATTGAAATAAAAAGAGATTCTGTAGCTAAATACCTGGGGGTTTTCATTGACGAGAACATCACATGCCCAGCAAACAATAGACGTCTTTTAGACCGTCTAAAATTGGTCTAATTTGTATCTATTGCCGATAAGTATATTTTAGACGTATATTAGAGATCGAAAAGACGTCTGATTCTAGAGATACTATTTTTGCTCTGTTTTAGATGCATATTAGATGCATAAAATAGATTGTGCATAGATAATTTTTTTTTTCATCTAAACTTAGATGTCTATAAGATGTCTTTTATAGATTTGTTATAAAAACAAGAAAAAAGTTTTAACTAATTTTACAGAGCGATAATTATAAATGACCGCCATTTAAAAACCCTGTTTCAAAAAAAGCATGAAGATTTTAACCTATAAAAGAAATCAATGATTATTTCTTTTGATAAATTTTTAAATAATAAAATAACATGCTATTATAGTTCACAAAATATTTCGATGATTTGATGATTAGCATGTTTGCTAAAATCCTTGTGATTTGAAGTTTATTTTGCAGAAATATTACAAAATTAATATTTCCAAGTTGATATTTTTATTTCTAGAATAAAAGATAATGTAATTAATATATATATATATATATATATATATATATATATATATATATATATATATATATATATATATATATATATATATATATATATATATATATATGTATATATATATATATATATATATATATATATATATATATATATATATATGTATATATATGTATATATATATATTTATATATATTTATATATATGTATATATATATATATATATATATATGTATATATATATATATATATATATATGTATATATATGTATATATATATATATATATGTATATATATATATATATATATATATGTATATATATATATATACATATATATATATATATATATATATATATATATATATATATATATATATATATATGTATATATACATATATATATATATATATATATATATATATATATATATATATATATATATATATATATATATATATATATATATATGTATATATATATATATATATACATATATATATATATATATATATATATATATATATATATATATATATATATATATATATATATATATATATATATATATATATATATATATATATATGAGTGTTTTTCAATAACACAAAAGGTTGTTTTATTGGTTGTGCACTTATCGTTTTTATCGAGGAACCAAGATTCATTTATGTCTTTTACAAAAAGGGCATACGAAAAGAGACGCAGTAGACGTGTCCAAAAAGAACATTAAAAAATACTAGAATTTTCATCAGTATATATAGAAAAAAAATCGAATGTTGGAACTTCTAAAAAAAATGATTTCTTATCTTGCGAAAATCTAAAAGAATATTTTGACCATCATGAGTCATCGATTTTGTACAATGAATACTCTTATGACCAAAAGCCAAATGAGTATAAGCATAACCCAACTTTAAAAGGAAAGTTTTCTGCATGTTTTTCTAACCAAGTAATTATGCACTAAAAAAGTGGATTGACAAAGAATAGCAACAAATTTATTGTCCCAAAAAAAAACTATAATCATGCACTTAAAAACAACCTTTCATCAACAAAAGAATGGTACAAATTTCCATTGATAAACTGTAAGATAACAGATAGTCAGTATCTAACTTGTTTTGTGTTTTTTTTAAAGGTAACTTAATTACTTTTTTGTAGCAAAATGTTTTATAATTAGATTCATTTTCATATTGTTAAATTGGTTACATATATTTATATGATTGACAACATTCTATTGTATTAAATAATCCTTTAATCAACTTGATATGAAAATTGAAAATTGATTGAAAGCATGCTGAAATTGTTTAAATTTAGAAATTAAAAGAGTACAAAATTGGTTGAAAAATTAAAATAAGTAACAGGTATGGTTGAGGGATTATTTATAGTTCTAATTATAATTATTTCTTTTGAATAGAGCTGTTATCAGATTCAAAGATTGAAGACGATAATTTTTCTTCACATTTTATTGATGAACACAATCAAACCAAACAAAGTTCACATTGTCAAAGAGTTTCAAGTTTTAATATGAGTATTTTTGGTTTTTACACCACTGAATGTTAATGTGGAGGTCTTTTTTATTAATTTGTTTTTGTATTAAAATAATTGTAAAAGATAGGTATAAAAGAATAGAAATGGATAATTTGTAATATTGTGATCCGATAAATCATGTGTGTAGCATTTTACCTTTAGTAGTTAAACAAAATTCTTTAATATCGTAATTTTTTACAGGATAAAGTTTTAGCTGATTTAAAAGTAGGTTTTCCAAAATATTATGGCAACTTCTGCGATGGAGTAATTAAAAAACTTACATGTATTTTTGGAATTTTAGTTTGAGTTACTCAAGCATAATTTGAATTTTAAAGTTCTTATTTCATTGTTTTGCTATTTGGTTTTATGAGCTAAATATGTTAATCAATCTTTTTATTCTTGTTTGTAGAGATGCAAAATGTTATTCTCAACGAGCTTGCAGAAATAAAAGTTCTTTTAAAAGAAGTTATAGAAATTAAGTTTCAGGCTACTGGGGTGAAGTTGCTAGAATCAGTGGACGAAGTGGTTACACTGGATAATAAACTAAAAGATAAAACTGAGTATACTAATTTGGTATAATCTAATTATCTTAATTTTTAATAAGTTTGTTTAAATTTGGTTTACTAGTTTAGAATCTAAATGAAAAGTATTTGTAAATGAACTAAAATAACTAGCTTGTGTTAGACTCAATATGTTGTAAAGAAATTTAAGTTACACTAGTTTTTATTACATTTATTTCAGCTTGATAGTTTGAAAAAGATTGGTGGTGGAAAGCCAAGAGAACATGTTTTTTTGATCATGAAAATATAAATGATTATGTTTTTATTAATTATTAGAAATATGATTAAAAGGGACCAAAACCAATTCATTTTGACCGTTATTTGTTATGGATTTACTTTTAACATGACAATTTGATAAACTCGGTAGGTTTTTAAGTTTGTTTGTGTGCTAAAGTAAGTGTAATGCTAAACCTTGTTTAGCATTTTTATTTTTAAATTTAATGCTTTTACTTTTCAAAATTTTAAGCATTCATATGAATGCTCAAAATTTTGAAAAGTAAAAGCATTAAATTTAAAAATAAAAATTAAATTAAAATATATTTTAATATATATTAAAATATATTTTAATTTATTACATATATTAAAATAAAAATCTTTATAAATATATTTCAGTTTATTGTTAAAATATTTATCAGGTTATTTTCGAATCAGTTACAGTCCAAATTTAATCGAAAAGGAAATGGGGAAAAGATAAGCTTAGAAAATCTAGTAAATATATGGAGTGTTTTACTAGGTATAGTTTTAATAGTATTTACAAAACTGATATCTGTATTAAAAAGATATTCTTCGACTTTTTTGTGTCATGCTAGAATTTTTGTATCCATAATACAAGTTAATTCAGTTTTTTCATAAAAAATTTTTTGTTTATTATTGTATCTGGTTGAGATACAAATCTTCTTGTTTATATATATATATATATATATATATATATATATATATATATATATATATATATATATATATATATATATATATATATATATATATATATATATATATATATATATATATATATATATATTATATCTATATATATTATATCTATATATATTATATATATATATTATATCAATATATATATACATATATATACAATATATATGTATATATATATTGTACCTGGTTGAGATACAAATCTTCTTGTTTATATATATATATATATATATATATATATATATATACACATGTATATATATATACACATGTATATATATATACACATGTATATATATATACATATGTATATATATATATATATATATATATATATATATATATATATATATATATATATATATATATATATTATATATATATATATATATATATATATATATATATATATATATATATATACATTTATATATGTGTATATACAGTATTGGACAAAACATTTGCAACCAACATCGAACAATGCTAAAAAGTGTTCCTAATTTTATGTCTTAAAAATGAAACGAACTATACTACCACAGCAAACAGTTCAGGAGTCTGGAGTCATAGCATGCCATGATATGAGCAATCAGCTGACAGGTGACAGCACACAGGCAGAATTTTGTTGACAAGTGCCATTTTGCAGCATACAAAACAAGTGCAACTTTTTTGGTTTGTTTTATTTTCTCAAGTCTGGTCCTTGTCAACGTCACGGAAGTTTTTTAATAATTAAAGGAAGTATCCAGAAGTTTCCAGAAGCATGCAGAAGCTTCCAGAAGTTTCCAGAAGAAGCATCTGGAAGCATCCAGAAGTATCCAGAAACATTCAGAAGCATTCAGGCGCATCCAGAAGCTTCCAGAAGTATTGAAAAGAAGCATCTAGAATCTTCCAGAACAGGTTCACACAGGTTCATTTTACTATATAAGAGACATGTAATTCAGTCAGTATATGGAAGTCAATCAGTCAGTATTATCAAGACAGTTTATCGAAGTGAGTTTTATCAAAGTGTTTTATCGAAGAACATCAATACCAGAAGTGAAATACAACAAGTGTTTCATTACATCAATACAGTCCACATCCAACCAAGACGTTATGTTTCACAGAGCCATATTTTATCATCACAAGGTAAATGTAACACGAAGAGCCTTGAGAAGTGTGTTTATTTATTTTTATTATTTTTATGACTTCAAGTACAAAAATGGTTCCCGACAGTCTTGGATTGGAACTAAGAGAGAAAATTATTTGCGATTACTTAAGTGGAATGTCACAAAAAAGTATTTGTGATAAATATTGCGTGAAAAAATAGATCGTATCAAGACTATGTTCCAAATATTGTTCCACAGGGAAGTTGGCAGCAGATAACAATGGTGGAAGACCTCGTTCCACCACTTCTAGAGAGAATTCTATGATCGTCAGATCTGTCAAGAAGGATCCCCGGATATCATCAGTTGAGATACAAAAGCAATTAGAGCTGCCTGTACGTCAAGCGGCCAGAAAACGCCTTGATTTATGTTACTGCCATAAGACAGGGAAGCATGGTGGAGGCAATGTAATGGTCTGGGGGTGTTTTTCTGCTAACAGTCTTGGTCTAATACATCGAAATACAGCTTGGTCAACATTTTGTGGAGTTGCACTTGTTTTGTCCAGAAGGAAATCAACTTTTTTTAATACTTTTGATTAATTTATTAATTTTCGTGTACAAATAATGAATTTTGCGATGAATTAAATTTGAAGAACGTTGTCTCTAAACAGTTACATAGTTATTTCTCTAAATTGAAAAAATGCAGCACTTTTATACAAAGAAACTAAATTAGCATCATTTGGTTGCATATATATATATATATATATATATATATATATATATATATATATATATATATATATATATATATATATATATAATATATATATATATATTATATATATATATATAATATTTCAAAAAAATAGATTCAGAATTCTACATGTCTTTTAAAGTCATTTAAATGTCATTAATGTATATATTTTAGATATCGGCGACGTGGAAGAAAATGTTGACGGCAATGAAGAAATATAGTTTCTTTTTATGTATATATGTATATTTTTGTGAAATAAAAATTAAGTAATGTTAGTTAAAATGTTTCTTTACTTATTTAATTTAATCCTTTTTTATGACTAATTTAACCGCTGTAACACCTTTGTATCAAACAAGTCCCAGCAAACAAAAAGATATCTAAAATACATCTAATATGAATCTAAAAACTGGTCTAAAAGACGTCTAAAATCACGTCGTGAACGGGACATAAATAGATGTCTATCTTATAGATGTCTTTTAGATGCATTTTATTCGACACAAATAAATGCCTTAGATGCATAAAAGATGTGAAATATACATTTAAAGACGTATATTAGATGCATAAAAGAGCTATTATTAGCTAAAAAATTATCTATTATCTATCTTTTTTAATCTATTTAAGAGACGTATTTTATACATCTAATATGCATCTGTAAGATGTATATTTCACATCTTTTATGCATCTAAGGCAATTATTTGTGTCGAATAAAATGCATCTAAAAGACGTCTATAAGATAGACGTCTATTTATGTCCAGTGGATCCATTCGGAACTCCGTCTCGACGGATTTTTCTCGGTTTTTCGGAGTTTCGGAGTTCGAGACAAATCGAGAAACTTCGACGAAACTTCGACGAAGTTTTTAGAAAATACCAATTTTTTATTCGTAAAATAATTGAATTCTTATTTTATTTCTACGTGGTTTTTACAATTGTAAATTGTAATTTAAAAAATTGTTTCAAATGTAAGTGTTCTCTTCGTTTAATAACAACACTAATATACATCGCAAAGCAATTGGTAATGCACAGTGGGCCAGGTGATGATGGTGAAAAAAAACTCAAAAAAAGTTTATTCTATTCAAAACCATATATTAAAACATGCTCATACTTTTCCATTGTACTATTTCAAAAACTCTTTTGTGTATATTAGTATCTTTTTAGTATTAGTATTTTTTTAAATCCACAAAAATCAATTGCGGTATAATAAAATGTAATGCATAATAAAAAGCAAGAATTTTTTAATTTTTAAGCAAAGATATAATAAACAGTAACTTTTAAAATATTATGCGAATGTGATATTAGTTTATATATTTTAACTACTCATTAGTTTACCTTTACAAAAAAAAAGTTTAGTCAAGATCATTATTTATAATATAAACAAAAACTGGTCGTAAAATAACGAGGTAAGTTTTTAACATATAAAACATATAAAACTTTCATTTTATACAAGTAGTGTCGTATTTTGTATGATCAAAATAATTTTGTCCACCATAAGTCTAAAATCCGGCCCACTGAGGATTGTGGCAAAATTGTGCAATAAAATGTTATCAGTGAAAATAAATAATAATAATAATTAATGTTTAATTATACTTACCTATCAGAATAAATAACTTAATAACTTAAAATGTGATAACTTTTCACAATTAAAATAAAATTAAAAACAAATATGGGAGGTCATTATCAAATTGATAATTTTTCTTTCATAGAAAAAAATGGTTTCGGAAGCGTGGAAGTACTTTAATAAAGTTGTGGTAAATGATAAGAAGTATGGAGATTGCAAAAAATGTCATAAAAGAATCGCTTGTCCAGGAAGCAGCACAAACGGCCTTATTGGACACGTCAAAAGTTGCGAGAAAATAGATTTGAAACCATTCAGTTCCAGACCAGTTTTGACTAAAATGTCATTTAACGATCTTCTTGCCAAGTTGACAGCTCTTGATGGGTATTCGATTAGGTCCATAACTCAATCTGAAACACTAAGAATGCTTTTTGAAAATTACGGGCATAGTTTGCCTAAGTCAGCGTCCGCAATTACAGAAAAAATTAAGATGTTTCATGCTGAAGCCAAATACTTAATGATTGCTGAATTGGCTGCATTGAAAGCAAAAGGAGAAAAATTTGGACTAACAGGTGACTGAAGGAGAGTTTCTTATTGAATATTCGGAGAATGAGATTGAGTATGAAGAAAATATCGAAAAAAATCTACAGAAACTTCGAATACTAATTAAGTTTTTGAAATATTCATCGTTTCGATATGAAGTTCTTAAAAGAAAAATACACAAAATATACGGATCTTCGCATGACAAAGGACTGTTGTTCGACAACCGAACAAGATGGAACAGTGTTTTTAAGATGATTAAAAGATTTCTGGATTGCTTAGAAGCTGTAAAAAAAACACTCGAAGAGCTAAACTGCTTAAACATGTTAGCTGAAATTGACTTGGATTTCTTAAAATCGCTGTCTGACTTATTGGAAGTCGTTGCTGACGCTGCAGTTCGCTTGGAAAAACCAAATACAACAATTTTGGAGTGTGACATTATTATGGAAACGTTAGTAAGGAAATTGAAGGTTGCAGAAACTGACATCAGTTCTAATTTTGCAGAGACCTTAATCTCCAGATATAAAGATCGTAAAAACGTTATGTTGGTATCATTGAGTCGTTATTTGCACAATCCCGATTTTTTTAAAAATAAAAACCACACAATTTTTTACGCTTCCAAAAAAGATATTCAAATTTATGCTTCAAAATTATTTGATCAACTATTTGCAACAAAAGAAAATAGTCTCCAATCAAAATCAGATGATCACGCTAAAAACAAACAAGAAGAACCATCACAATCGACATCTTTTTTCTCCGAAATTCAAGAAGTTCTAATTCAAAATCAATCAGCAGCTAAAAAACCAAAAAAAGTCAAGACCTTCACCGATCAGTTGAAAGAATATGAAGTAACTGGTGTGAAATCAGAAACAGTTTTAAAATTTGAACTAGCCATCCACAGAATTCAAGCAACTTCCTCGGAAGCAGAAAGAGTTTTCTCCTCGTCTTCCAGATTTGTCACAAAGTTTCGTAGTTCGCTTTCTGATGAAATGATAGATGTTTTGATCTTTTTAAAATATTATTTAAAAAGATCTTCAGTATAAATACTTTTTTTTTCAATTTTTTTTTTTAATTTTTACTATAGGTGCCCCAACAAGTCTTTATTGCATAGCAACGCAGAAGGGCATTTAACTGAAAGTTCACGCCTTCTTCCTAACCGATGCCGGTTAGAAAGCCAATTATTAGATATAACTTGTTCGTTAAAAAATTGTGATAAAAAAAATATTTATGTACTAAGAAATATAAAAATATAAATTTTTTAAAATTTTATTATGAATTATAAATCGAAATATTTAAAATTAAAAAATAAAAATACAAGAACAATGTTTAATTATCAAATAGAGAGTTTAATTTTTTTATCAAATAGATAGTTTAATTTTTATAACAAAATATTATCGAAACTCCGATTTTTTCTCGACTTCGACGGAGTTTTTTCTCGATTTCTCTCGACTCCGTTTTTTCTCGATTTTGGATCCTTTGTTTATGTCCCGTTCTAGACCTGAATTTAGACGTCTTTTAGACCAGTTTTTAGATACATATTAGATGCATTTTAGATATCTTTTTGTTTGCTGGGTGGAAACATCATATTAACTATATCTGCTCGAAAGTTTCAAAAAGTATCGGAATTTTATATAAGGCGCGTACTCATTTAGATAAAAATAATTTAACAAAACTTTATTATTCTTTTATTCATAGTTATATAAGTTATGGAGTTATTGCCTGGGGTAGCACAAATCAAAGCAAGTTACAATGTCTCTATTGCCGTCAGAAACATGCGATCCGTTTAATTAATTCTGCGGATCGGTTCACACATTCCTCAATATTTTTTAATCAAATGAAAATACTCGATATATATAAACTAAATGTATATAAAAATTTATCTTTTGTTTATATGTGGAAGTATGATTTATCTCCTTTAATTTTTAAAGACCTTTTTATTTTGAAACCATTAACCAAGTTTAACATGAGAAATAATAATTATTTAAATGAACCACTCTGTCGAACAAAGTTCAATCAATTTTGTATCACTTATTGTGCAGCTCATCTCTGGAACAAAATTATTTTGCCCAACTTCAACTTACCACTAACTTACCCTGTTTTCAAAAATAAATTAAAAGATCTCATTCTCTCTATTGAAAATATCTTAGAATATTTTTAATTTATCTTGTGATGAAAAAATAATTTTTATTTCCAAGTTTTGTTTTATACTTGCTTACGATTTATTTTTATTTATCTAAGTACGATCTAATGTTTTTATGTTATTTTTACGTGCTCATTGTAATAACGTTTTTATTATTATTATTTTTTTAATAATATTATGCGTACTCTCTTTTGTAAAGGGCTTCTGACGATGAGATCATTGTGATCTTCTTTTAGAAGCCTTGTTTGTATTTGAGAAATATGTAATTTATATATATTATGTCAAATGTAAAAAAAAAAAAAAAAAAAAAAAAAAAAAAAAAAAAAAAATTATAGACGACGTTGAGACGTCTCTTTTCTGCAAGTTTTTGATACATATAAAATAAAAAAAGACTATAATAAAATAATATAATATGGATCGTCTTTAAGAAGTTGATTGAATTTTTTTATTTTCTATTTTTATACGTATCATGAATTTGCATAAAAATTAGACGTCTCAATTTTGTCTCACAAATCCCCGAAAAAAGATTTTTTGTATGTGAAGGTCTTTAAGACGTTTTTTAGATGACTCATTTTTATCTCATATGTATCAAAAATTTACCATAAAAATTAGACGTCTTAACTGCGTCTAACAGATACCCGAAAAAATAAATCTTATTTGTGAACGTCTTTAAGACGTTTTTTAGAAAACTCATTTTTATCTTATATGTATCAAGAATTTGCATAACAATTGGACGTCTCAATTTCGTCTCACAAATGCCTGAAAAAAGACATCTAATATGTGATAGTCTGTAAGATGTTTTTTAGATGTCTTATTTATGTTTCTTCGGTATCAAGAATTTGCATAAAAACTAGATGTCTCAACTGCGTCTAACAGATGCCTGAAAAAAGAATTCTTAATGTGATCATCTTTAAAACATAGTTTAGATGTCTTATTTTTATCGTAGACGTCTCTAGACGTCTGAGACACTAAAAAGACATCTAAAAGTCGGCGCTGTGCCGGCTGGGTTGCTGCAAGTAGGTTTTGTGAATTTAGTATGTGATGTA